TTTAGATTTTATTTTTTAAAATTTTTCAGTCTATCCTGTCCCCTGCATTGCACAGTAGCACTCAGCAGAGTCTCACAGACCTTGGTGTCTTGGTACAGTCCCAGTAGCTTTGCACACCCATGAGACCCATCAGTTTTTTCTAGCACTTGAATTCGTACTTTGCACTTGGAGAAAAAGAAAAAAACAAGACTAGCAACCAACCACCAAAACAAGATGTTATCAAGCAGATGCCATCTTCCGCTTTTGTTCTGTTTTTCCTTGTTTGTTTTCTTGGTTTGGTGGTTTGGTTTGTTTGGTTGTTTTTTTTTTTTGTTGTTGTTGTTGTTGTTTTTTGGGGGGTGGATACTACAAAAATATTGGTAAGTGTACAAAGCAAATACCATTCACAGACTGCCCACTAACACTTACTGTTGGCAATATTAACTTATTTAAATTTATATCCTACTAGCAATAAAAGCACCACAGCCTTGCTATACCAGCAAATGCAATGTTATACTATCGAACTAGAAGTGCTAGGACACTGGAAGGCTTGCTCTAACAAACAGAGATGTGTGTGAGCTAATTCCTGTGAACAATTTATTCAGAGACTTCAGCTCCTGCTCTGCTAATGAATTCCAGAGGACGTTTATATTGCTGTGAATTTATTCTTTATTTAAAATTATTAATAAATTAGTTATATGACCATACTCAGTCTCCAGATTGCTTGCAAACCATTTTCCATCCCATCAAGATCTTATGTTAGTAAATCAGGTTACTCAGCTAATCCACATTTTCTTCAGTCCACAAACCTGCAGCGGTTTCAAGGTGGCTACTGCATTAAAGATTATGCAGATGAGCATCATGACACTTCTATCTTTCTCAGCTGTGTATTTCAGAAATCACGAGCTTGTTCACATGCACAGCTACAGAAAGCCCTCATCATGCTTCCTGAATGCAAACTAAATAAGGAAATTCTTAAGCGATTTTCACTTTCAAAAAGAAAAGATTAAATCTAACTGGATAAATCATTTCATAAAGCCTTTGAGACAGTGGGTAAATACACTAAACATGGCATAATAAATAATTACCTGGGATATACAGGGTATAAGCTTCCATTGACTGCACAATGCCAAGCTTCCTCATTTCACAGCCTTAAGTAAAAAGAACAATGTTTCAACTCAAAATCAAACACTACCTCATCTTTTTTTTCCTTTTTTTTTTTTTTTTTTTTTTTCCCATTTAACATAACCTCTTGGTTTAGGTGTCTCCTGCCTACACAGCATTTTGGTTAAGCCTGCCAGACGCAGCAGGGATGCAATTTTTGGTCAGAAGTCCACATTTCAGGTAAAACCACTGTTGTTGCCACAAGCTTGCAGCCAACGTAGCTTTGCCAAGCTACAAGCAACAATTTCAGATGAAGTGCAACTCAAATCTATCCAGAACAGCATTTTGAGCCGCCTCTTACTGCTCGTTTCTGATATGTCAAATTCATCAAATTTTAAAATAAACTGAGAGAAGGAGAAGATACTAGGAAAATGGCACAAAAGGCATTTCTAAAGAACCTGTTTCTCTTTTTGTGTTACTACGAATATAGAAATGGCTTTTTCAAAGCTTCTAACAGGAAGATTGCATTGAATGGTAGATATTTGATGTGTGCAGAAAAAGGCCTTTAATATTACAGAAGTAGTCTCCTTAATCCAAGGTTCAAATGCCTATTTTAAAGGCATTCGGCATTATATTTAAACAAAGCTAGTGCAGTGCCTGCAGCTGCAAATTGCAGGGAACAAATGCAAATCACAAGAGTTCACACTGCAGGCTCTGAAAAGTCATCAAAGCCTCCAAGTACTTTTAAAGAATAATGTTCAAAATGCCACAAGACCTCACAAAGTACCCTGCAGGAATCCATCGCTTTTTACCTGATGGAGCGGTGAAGCTAAGAACTTCAATCCTTTCTTTACCCAGAACCTCTATAAAAATGCAAATAGCACCCAGCAGACATACGTGCAATTAAGAGAAAAAAAAATAATAAAGCTTCTTTTAAAAATTTAAATGAAACTTAACTAATTTTAAAGAGTTGGGAACTTGGAAATTGTAGCACAAATTGCATCTGGGCAATGCCACTTGAAGATGGATAACTTAACAGCAAAGTTGTCTGACACCATTGCTAGGCAATCTTAATGGTAAGAAATAACTATCACCACCAGATGTTTCTCAACTGCCACTACTTCTTACAGTGAATTCAACTTCAAGTAATACCTACCATCTAGCAAAAAGTTGTCCCTATTTTGTAGATACAAAAAATACACGCAGAAAGAGGTTACACATGAAGTTTTACTTCCTTCTTTTTAATTCAATAGATTATGTACATTCTCTCACACCATTTTAGACCCTTATTCATTTATAAAGTGTAGCACACTTTATAAAATAAAATAATGTAAGATAAAGTGGTGAATGATAAAATAATGTGAGATAAAAGGGTGAATGACTGAAGCCACAGATGATTTCATTCAAAGGCCTCATTTTTCTAGTTGTACAGAAGTAAGACCAGTCGGAACTCTTCAAGCCAAGCGACCAGGTGGGATATGAATTAAGAACTGAAAAAGAATTGATTTCAAAGTTTGGAATAGAATAAAGTAACAGTTGTGAAGCCAGCCTTTTCCTTTTGATAGAGCGGAAGGATACCAAGGCAAGTGGCTCTGAGGCAGGCTGTGTTTTCCCCATGGCTTCTGCCTATGGATATGCTCCATCATGTGTCTCCACACCTCAGGTACACGCTTATTTAATTTTCTTATTAGCTAGGCAGCAAATAAAAAAGATAGACCTTGCAGTACGAGGGCGGGAGATGGTGTTCACCTTGAGCCAGGTTCAAAATGAGCAGCAGGAAGAACTACATCTCGCTCAGCTAAACCATCAACTGCAATTTGCACTTCTTCAGGCAAGCCCTGGTCTGCAGGACAGCACAGCTACCCACTGATGCATGTGATAGGAGCCCAGCCAGGTACACATCGCACTTCATCACCAGAACAGCACCTCTTCGTCTTCTGTGGGGCCAGGTATGGCAGGAACTCAGCCTCACAATCTCACAGCCCTCCCAGCATCCTTAATTCCCTCCCTCATCCCCTGCGGACACTCTCAACGTTGACATTGCCATTACTGCTATTTTCCAATGAGTTGTAGGTCTTCTGGGATTCTGCAGTGTTTGGCTCCCTATAACATTGCATTGCACTCAGTATTTCTGAAATACCCATGGGCCTTCTGATTTTGCTGTTAGTAAACCGCTTGATAAAATGGGTACAGATAAGAAAATGCCTGGCTGCATACTATTTAAAAACGTTCACAGATGCAGCATGCTAATCCCCTGCGTGATTCACATGCAACATCTGCTCTACAGGAGCATCAGAGATGCTCCTCCCCATAAAAGCACTCCTGCCATAAGGTATGCCCTCTTTTAAAAAGGGCATGCCTGGGAGCTGAGCACAGGGAAGAGATGGGACCTGGCCCCAGGAACGGAAAAAGGCTGACCAAGATGAGAGCAGCACTTTGAGCAGACAGCAGAGCAGGTTTGGCTTTGTCAGGGGATACAGGTCCTGGGCAATTCCCAGTGCCTCTGCTAACTTCAAACTCAGGTCACCATCCTGAGCACCTAATGGGTGTCTGTCACTTGAAGAGGGAAGAAATGCAAACAGTGTAGCACCTAAAATGATCCTCAGCAGTAAGGACAAATACAGTGATATCCGCCAGTTTGCCCTAAATGCTGCTGGCAGCTCGGGAAGACTGCAGCTATGGTTGGGAAGGAGAAGATGGGACTTGGATGTATTTGCAGAACCTTGCTTACACTCCTGAAAAGCAAATCCTGCCCCGCTTTTCTGTTGTATACACAGGTGCCTGGAGCACAGCCTGGAAGACCAGGCCTTTGTCCTCAACCCTCTTTCAGGCCACCTTCAAAGCTTTTGTTCTACACAGTGTGGCCTGGCACCCCTACTGTGACCAAGCTCAGGCCTCATTACGGCACCGTCTAAAAACGTGACCTAATTTTTCTGCTTGAGTGTCAACTTCTTGGACCTCTGCCTCTCTACGAGGCGTGTATTGGGTCACGATCTCACACAGCTGCAGCTAAAAGACGAATGGTCAGCCATTGCGGAGAGGTAGCTAAAAAAAATTATGGTAAGGCATTGACCAGTACGTTGAATGGAGGTGCATAGAGAGGCTAAAAACAGTTTTATCAGTTATGTAGTTTGAGAGTTGTCTGCAACCCCACTATTGTCACCAGGCAGTGTTTTGGGGTTGGGTACTGAATAGCACAGAGAGTAGGAGAGCTGTCAAAGCACTCAGGGACACAGTCCGAAGCTCTGCAAACCTATTTGGACACGTCACTCCAGTGCAAAGTCACGGCAGGCTCCAAAGGCGAGGGCACACTGCCGGCCTGAGTCACCGGCCACGTCAGAGCCGGGCGTTGCACCGCGTGCCTATCTACCTGGCAGCAAATTGGTCACAGGATGGATTACCCAGAAAGCTGACAGTAGATGTCTGTCTGCGGAGTCATACGCCGAGACGTTTAATGGGCACCACGATTACCTGCAGCTTGTTTGTAACGGGTTATATGGTTAATGTGGGGACGGCAACGGGGAGCACTTAGCGGGAGGCTCCTTGGAGCTCCTGGTCTGCAGCTGAAGGAACAATTAAAGCCAGCTGTTTTTGTTTTTATTGCAGTGACTGATGTGAGAAGGCTGACACAGCTTCGGGGCTCGCTCTGAAGGCATTATGTGTAACTTTGGCTCGTTTGGGGCAGACCTGGGACAGAAACCCGCAAACACACCACCGTCACCTCAAGGGCCACCTCCCCCACCCCCAAACACCACACTCAGTCCCAACACAACCTTTTATTTTTACATCTTTTATTTATTTAACTCCCCGAGCGGCCGCAGCGCCCCGCAGCCCCTCACGGGACCGTTGGGGCGCCATTGGCGGCCCCTCCCCCCCCTTCCCCAACCGCCTCCCGCCTGAGGTAAGGGGGGGCGCGCACTGCGCATGCGCGGAGCGGTGGCGGGGGCCCTGCCGAGGGGGAGGGGCCGCTCCCGGTGCCGCCGCACGGGGAGGGCGATGGCGAGCCTGCTCCCCGCGGCCGCCGCCTCCTCCTCCTCCTCCTCCCCCGCCGGCGGCGCCCCGGCGAGGAGCAAGAAGCGCCCGGCGAGCCCGGGCACCGGCAGCGGCCCGGCCAAGAAGAAGAAAGTGGCGGCGGCCGGCGGCTCGCAGGTACTGGGGGGCGGCGCGGCAGCGCGCATGCGCGGAGCGGGACCGCTCCTCCCTTATCCCCCCTTCCCCTCCCCTCCCCCGCCCGCCGCGCATGCGCGGGAGGGGCCGGCGGGGAGCGCGCGCAGCGGCCGTTGGGGCGGTTGGGGGTGGGGCGGTGCCGTGAGGGGCGCCTCAGGGCGCTGCCGGCGGGCACTGTGGTGGCAACCTCGGCTCTCAGGGGCTGATTCTGGGCGGGCAGCGTCAGGAGGAGGGTTCACAGAATCAGAGAATTGTAGGGGATGGAAGGGACCTCGGGAGATCATCGGGTCCAACCCCGCTGCCAAAGCAGGTTCCTCAGAGCAGGCTGCCCAGGTTGGCGTCCAGACGGGACTTGAGTATCTCCAGAGAAGGAGACTCCACAACCTCCCTGGGCAGCCTATTCCAGTGCTCCGTCACCCTCACCATGAAGAAGTACTTTCCTATGTTGGTGCAGAACTTGCTGTGCTCCATTTTGTGGCCATCACCCCTTGTCCTATCCCCACAAGTTATAAATACCCATTTCTTCTCACCTCCTACCTGTAGTAGCAGCACCACATGGCTCGCCAGGCCCCATCCCCAACCAACAATAATACTTCCCCCAAGACCACAAGGCAACATCTCATGCATCTCTGTGCCCAGGAAGAGGCCCAGGGTCATTGTGTCCTACCATGTGCTCATAACATCTGTATAAACTTCAGAAGTAGCGTGTCTGGGTTTCTTCTTTTAGAAGGATTTCAGTAGCTAAGTGGTCAAAAAAAAAAAAAAGTTGGGAAAAATGGTAGCCCTTTTATATTTTATCCAAGAAATAGTTTTTCTTGGTAGTATTTCATGACCCGTAGTAGTAGCATAGCCGCAAAGTATGTGCTACTGCCTGTTGGGTTGCTTATTTTCACATGAGCCATCAGGTCGGAGGAATGCATTTTTCAGCAGATCTTTTCTCCAGACAATTGGAAGCCATCGTGTACATGCCAGGGCACAGACAGAAACCATTCCCCGCTCCAAATGATGCTCTTGTAGCTCTTGTTTTCACCCTGTGGCATTTACATAGTTTATTTTCCTTTTCTGGTGAGCTTATCCCTAGGAGAGGCAGCACAAACCACAGTGATTTATGTAGCTAACAAACTGCACTGCAACCGTGAAAAATTAACTGCCTAGCATGATCACGTTTGACAACTTTTCAAGGTCTGTTAGAGATACAAGTCTGGAGCTTCAGTTTGGAGAGCACCGCTCTGCCTGTGTGTGCATGCATATATAAAACCCTTTACACTTAAAAAAGACTTCTCCAAACACTTCAGCCTCTAAAACTGTTTCCTGAAGCTCACGTCAAACTTCAGTCCATGGACAGCTTCCAGTATTATGAGACAACCCACGATTTCTTGCCCGAACTGGGTTTTGATAGTGTGATAAACAGTTTTTGCAATTCTTCTCACAAGTGATTTGAGTGCAGAAAGGAGGAATTTCTCAACTTTACGTTCAAGTCAGCGTACACGTCCACTGACTTGAGTAGTGCAGATCAGTCCCATAAGGAAAAGGAAAAAAAACCCACCTGAGGCTCAGAAAGTGCGTAACCTCAGGAATGGGACAAGAAGCAGCTTGTTGATCCTCCAGTGCTGCTGACTGGCTCTGGAGCGAGCCAGTTTAAACAGAAACAAAATGGGGGCTTTGCAGTTTTTGCGTTAGAAACAGTGATGACTGGGCACGTTCCTCTGCAGTACCTCTTTCCGTCTGTATCTCCAGAAGTCCTTGTGTAGGCCTATTTATTTCTAACACCAAACAAGCAGAATTCTTCATCCAGCCATCTTACACTTGCACACCCTTAGCGCACGTCATTGGCAGCACAGGTGTGGAGGCAGCACTTGTTATTCTTCTGACTGTTCAGTTTCCTAATTAACTTCTTTGATATCTTTAACAGCTTTTTACAGCCTATTTTCAGCCTTTCAGAAGACAAATATATCATGCTGTAGCTCAGCACAGAATGGTTTCTATTTTAAATAAACTGACATTGTGAAACAGATGGAGAAATAGCGAATTATTTCCTCAGTTAATTAGCAAACTACAGGTAAGAGGACCCCTACCGAGAGGTTTCTAACTATTTGCAGGGTCAGCTTAGGATCTGAGGACTCTGCTAATGCACTGTGAAATACCTCCTATGCTTTTGGCCACTGCATTAACCACTAGCTTCTGCGGAGACCCTCATGCCTGGCCTACTTCAAAGTACATTCACACTGTGCCAGCTTTGAATTTCCTCACATCTGTGGCTCCATCGCTGTGAAACTCAACCAAAAGGGTTGTTGTTGTTTTGTTTTTTTGTAACTTCCGCAAGTCACGTGAGCTTGTTTCTCTTTTGTATGCTTCATGTCACGAGTAGCTATCGCAGTGCTCATGCTCAAGATGTGTAGGTAGGTAGGGTAAGACTGTAGATACCAAAGAATCACCAAAAATGTCCTTATTTTTCAATACAACTGTTCTGCCTGAGGATAGCAGCTAGACTGAGTACCTGTGTGTGTTACAAACAAGAACACACAAGTATCACAGAGCATACAGGGTTTTTTTTAGCCCAATTTTGATTATGTTTTCTCCAACACATGGTCTAGCATATGAACTGCTGCTTTCTCCAAGATACACTCCAGAGGCATTAACAAAAAACATTCTTCATAGTTTGTATGACTTGCTGACCCAAAGGTATTGAGTCATGTTTGCTTTGGAAGAACACTGCACACGGGCCTTGTCAGTCATGGCTACAGAAGGAGACACATGGTTTTTGGATACAATGCCTGTATTTACCAAACACAAAATGAAAAGTGAGTTTACAGGAAGGCAGGGCTGCAGATTAATTACATCACTTTTATTAGCCTTACACAGTTATTCCTCCTGTGCAGTCGTGCCACCGGAAAGTACCGCAGTCTTTGCTGCAGCAAGGGATTTTAAATGTTGAGAATCATTATGTATGTCGACTGCTAACCTCCATGTGTCAAAACCAGTGCTGCTTAGTGGCTTCTGTAGCACCGTTTGGTTAGATTCCTTGCCCAAAGATTTCCAATAGCTGTTGTGCTGGCTCAGCCCCACTGCTGGCAGAGGTAACAGAAGCTCTGGGGCAGACTTGTCTCCAGGTCCCTTCTCGTTTTAATTACAAACGCTTAACCTGGGGTAGAATGAGTAGCTCGATACTGATCTAAAACTGCCACCTTAATATTCACACCATTACTTTCACAGATGATTAGAGCAACAGGAAGCGTTCAAAGGAGAGTATTCAATATTAAGATGTAACTGATGAAACAGAACACTCACACATGACAGCTAACGAGCTTAAAAGGCAGAATTTGCAGTGAGGTAAGAGAAGGATTTGGGGAAAAAAGTCTGTGATTTTGTCAGAGGACAAAGTGAAAATGTGCTAAATATTATGGGGAAAGCACATTTGCTTACCTTATTTGCAAAACAACTTCATGCATGAGTGATGAAGTATGTAGGAAATGCCTCACTTTGAGAGTGACATCATGGTTTGTTTTACATTTTGAACAGATGTAAACCGCTTTGTAAAGTACAGAAACACACAGAGAAGGCTTTTGCTTCCTCTCTCCATCCTTGTAGCAACAGCAGGTCTTGGTACAATTTAGGAAATGAAGATTGAACTTCCTCCTCTGCAAGATTTCAGTGGTATTTAGGAGTTACTCACATTATTAAATGCATTGATTTTATCGCTGACTGCGAACGTTGCAGCAGTGCTACTGGAAACCATTTTACGTAACTAGTGCTCATATGGGTATTTCACACCTTTTTCTGAGTTTCTCGTTTTATGCTCAAAAAGAGAAACCATACAACAATATCAGAAAAGTCAAAACGGCTTAAAGTTGTTACTCTCTTAAATAAGCTCCTCTCATGCACGGTATGAATGTGGAAGGAGCGACTCCAAGATGTACCTAGAGCTCCATTTTTCTATTCTGAACATAACTGAATGATGCCATTTTGCACTGAAATCTGGAGGGTTCTGACAGACAACTGCTCAGCGAGACTTCAGTATGTGCGTGGCTGCTGTTATGTATTCAGAAGCTGTCCACTAAAAGCAGAGAGCTTACCCGAGGACATAAATAGCGTGGAATTGGACTCCAAACCATACGTAAATTTAATCAGTTCTCCTGTTCTGCTGTTTTACCAAGTCTATCACTGTAAGTAGGAAACCATCAAATCAATTTTAAAATAACTTTGTTTTAAAAAGTCCATTTGATCTGGCTCTAATTTCCTGAAAAACGAGGTTAGGCAGGATGAGTTTAACTACAGAATCAGTGAGTATGACTGCAGCTACTGAGCAGAACTGCTGCTTTCGCCGTGTTCAGGGGTGAGTGTCTCCTCTGGTATGGCACGGTATAATAATGACTTTCTGATCTGAAAGGAAAAATTAACTGCTTAGGAATTCAGACCTTGTTTACAGGCTTAAGCGGTGTAACAACAAACTTACTCTAATTATCGTAATACTATTCCACATAAGACTTTCTGTAACAGAAAGGCATAATTATCCTCTGTAGCTGGAAATTAAAAAAAATAATAATAAATAATTTGTGTTTCTCACCAGTCTACTTGCCTGGAAAGAGACAGCAGGACCCTGATAGAGCACAATAATAGGGAGGAGTAAGTACATCTATATTTGCCAGTTTATTAGAAAGCTATCATGTCATTATACTCTAGACTAAACTTTTTCTCCTTTTTTTAAGCATCTCTCAGCCCTTAAGGTTATGACAGTAACTGAAAATACATGAATTTAACCAGTGAAACAGTCCCAATATGGAGCTACTGCTTGCTCCAAAGGGTGCTTTTAAAATCCCTGTGCTCCCCGGGGATGCTAACTCAAACCTGATTAAATAGAATTAAATGGATCAAAAATATTTAAATTGGATGAAGCGTGGCTGTCCTGATACAGAGCAGTCGCTCGCTAGCTCCTGATACGAACTGCTGAGGTGGTGACCTGTTTTAGGTACAGCCACGTGCAC